TAACGGGGTTCGGACCAGGTGGGGGTAGGTACCCACCAAAGCCTTATAAAATAAGGTTTATACCGGATGAGGGTAGGTACTCATCGAATCTAGCAAAAATGCAGATTCGTACCAGGTGGGGGTAGGTACCCACCAAAGCCTTATAAAATAAGGTTTATACCGGATGAGGGTAGGTACTCATCAGAATCTAGCAAAAATGCAGATTCGTACCAGGTGGGGGTAGGTACCCACCAAAGCCTTATAAAATAAGGTTTGTACCGGATGAGGGTAGGTACTCATCAAAACTTAAGCAGAATGCATTAGGAGGAGTAAAATAATCACCTAAGCATTACAAAAACGGGTTGCAAAGACCTTACTTCTATTAGAGGATAGTTCAGTGTTGAGCACCTCGGAAGTAAGTACCCACAAGAGTTTAGCAAAACGCGAACTCATACCGGGTGAGGGTAGGTACTCACCAAAACCTTGCAAAACAAGGTTTATACCTAGTGGGGGTAGGTACCCACAAGAGTCTAGTGAAACACAGACTCGTACCGGGTGTGGGTAAGTACTCACCAGAGCCTTATAAAATAAGGTTCAAACCAGATAGGGGTTGGTACCTATCAAAAATATTTATCATCCAGAGGATCAGCAAAGGAGCATCCGAAGGATAACCAAGCAAAATGGTTAACTCCTTCCCCTACTAACTAATTTTGTCGGCATGTTAAGCCAACAAATTAGTCAGGCAGGAGAAGGGGGGGCAGCTGTAGACCCCTAATTTTGCCCGGTCTCTCAATAAAGGCTAAAGAGACTTCCTACAATAAAGACAAAGCTCGCCTGACATCTCAATAAAGGCCAAGAAGACTTCCTATATGAAGATAAAGCTTTAACGGACGTTTATCGGCATCAAACAACGTCCGAATACAGAAAGGAAAGCTTCCCAGGGGTCCCAGAACACAAAGGCTGGCCAAAACAGGTCGAGATGGCCGTCCCAAGGTCGAGACGGCCGTCCCAACCTTCCCTGCCCAAGTGGGACGGCCGTCCCAAGTGGGACTGCCAGCCCCAGGTTTCAGATGGTCTCAGCCTTTGCAAAAGAGGCAGTTGCGACGGCCGTCCCAACCCAGACGCGCGTCCCAAGTGTGTAGGCAGCGAAAACTATATATAGGAAGCTCATTTGCCACTGTTTCACACACCAGACAACTTCTAGTACTTGTCTATTCTCTTCCCTCTTCGAATGAACTCTCTGATTGCCTTGATAAGGTAACAATTAGTTAAGGAATCATATTCCAGCATTCGATTCTTCTTTAAAATTTAGTCGAGTCAGTGTTGTATTCGAAGAGGAGAGTCTTTGTAGAGCGAAGGATTGCCAAAACGCATCCTCACGATCAAAGATTCGTAATACAAAGCTTGCTACGGAGGTTCTGTTCAATTCTCTTCTCTTTTACTGCTTTATTTATTGCTTTATGTATGCAATATAAAATAAAGTCATGTAGATAGTCATTTTTAACATTATGCAATAAAATAGGGTAATCGCGTAATTTCTCGTAATCTTTACTGAAATGAATTAATCCGTCATAGGGAACCCGAAAGGGGCGTTGTGGGGTGCTAACACCTTCCCCACACGTAACTAACTCCCTTACCTAACTCTGGTTATAATAGCCAAGTTTGGTTTTTCTTAAAATCAACGCCTTTTTATCCTTTTCCAATGTTTACGGTCAAAACATTGGTGGCGACTCCAAAAGAACCCCTTTTCGAAAACCTTGCTTTTATTAGAGGATAGTTCAGTTGTTGAGCACCTCGGAAGCAATGAACATAATTTTAACAAAAAACGCGAGTCTAAACCATCTTTTCGCGACTGCTTGCATAAACGTTCGAGATGTCCCTGGACGTCGGAATGGACGACGGCGACAAGGATGAATCAGGTTTGGAAGTTAATCAAACTATGTATAGAG